CCACAATTTTTTTTAAATAAGTTAAATTAATAAAAAGTAAGGGTATTTTTGAAATTTTCTTATTTTTTAGATAAATTATGAATTTTTGGAATATTTTTTATTAATTTAATCAAATATTTTATAAACCATAATATTAATCAATATTAAAGGTTAATAAAAGCTAAATTAAATTAAAATAATATGAGAAAAATTAAGCATTATGATGGAAAGAAAAGCATATGGATCTGATTCCTTTAATTAAAATTGTTAATTTTAATGAAATGATTTTGAGTGTAAGCATGTGAAAGACCATGCCTTTAATTTAATGGTCCTAATTAAAAGAATTAATAATGTTATTAAATTGGTTTAAAGTAGAGGGGTCCCATTATGTTCTTACTTAACCAATATATTGTAATACACATTTAGGGAATAGTTTAATTAAACTATAGTTTAAAACAAATCAAGTGTGTGTCGTTATTTTATTATAAAATTGGCTTATTTTAGGGTTTAGGGTTTCGTTTCGTGGATGAGGAGGGTTTGGGAGGGGAAGGTGTAACGTAACAAAAAGGGTCGAGCCCAAACACACCATTAATAGATATTACCAGCTTTGGCCCGTCATGTATTGGCACTAGCCTCACGATTTTTAAAACGTGTCTATTTGGGAGAGATTTCCACACACTTATAAAAGAAAATGAGGGTTTGAGAGGGGAAGGTGTAGCTTAACATTGAGGGTCAAACCGCTAGTAGATATTGTCAGTTTTGGCTTATTACATATCAACGTTATTCTCACGGTTTTTAAGACACGTCTGCTAGGGAGAGATTTCGACATACTTATAAAGAAGGAAAATGAGACTTTGGGAAGGGAAGGTGTACCTTTAGAAAAAGGGTCAAACTCAAAATTTCATGCTAGTAAATATTGTCTGTTTTGGCTCGTTATGTATCAATATCAGCCTTATACTTTTTATAATGCGTGTATTAGAGAAAGATTTTCACACCCTTATAAAGAATGTTTCGTTTCCCTCTCCAACTTATGAAGAATCTCACAATATTGAATGCATGTATGTATTTGGGTCGAAGAAAAAAATAAACTCAAAAGAGACGTCCAAGTGTACGAAGTACAATTTAGTTTGTACTACTACATCCCCCTCCTCTTGTCATCCTTAATAATACTTTTTACTCTTTGTTTGTTCAACTTCTCGTTAAAATCTTCATTTATGTGATATCTCACATCGGTTGGAGAGGAGAACGAATCATTTCTAGCAAGATCGTGAATGTGGAAAACTGTGAAATTCCATATTGGTTGGGGAAGAAAACGAAACATTCCTTATAAGAGTGTGGAAGCCTCTCTCTAATAGACACGTTTTAAACCCGTGAGGCTTACAACGATAAGTAACGAGCAAAAGTGGACAATATCTACTAGCGGTGGGATTGGACGATTACAAATGACATCAAAGCCAGACACTAAACGGTCTGCAAGCACGCATGTTGGGCTTTCAAGGGGATGGATTGTGAGAACCCACATTGGTTGAAGAGGAGAACAAAACATTTCTTATAAGAATATGGAAACCTCTCCGTAATAGATGGGTTTTAAAATCATGAGGCTGACGGAGAAACGTAACAAGCAAAAACAGACAATATTTGAAGGTGGTGGGCTATTACAAAACCTCTCTCTAACAGACACGTTTTAAAATTGTGAGACTGACAGCTATATGCAACCTGCACAGCAATATCGAATGAATTATTAATTAATAAAAATCATGTGGTCGAGTATAATTAAGATAGTGTTAGTGATTTGGATTTCCAATTCTAAAAAAAATATTTTTTAATCTTAAAAATAAAATAAAAAGTAACAATATAATTAGAGGTGTCAAGAATATGAAACCATGACATGAATACTTTAAATTATCTACATTTTATAAATTGAGTTGTCACTAAAACAAAACTCAAAAAATTCATTAAATAAATAAATAAATAAATATATCTTAATAATACAATTATCATTGGCTCCAAAGCTGTTTATACCTCATATTATTTATTACAAACTTTATAATTTTAATTAACGTATTTCTACCAATTTCTATTTTTTTTTATTTTTTTAATGCAAATATATGTATATATATATATATATATATATATGACCATAGACTCAATAAGGAAGACCTAAAAAGTCAAGGCTGTCCTAGAGAGAGACATTGTGGGGGGCAGTTTGAAATAATTAGAAAGACAATAATGGGACAGCCCCAAAATTTAAAGGCATGGAATCCGGCACAAATGTCGTTTTTGACCCACGATCGAAATACACTAAAACAAATGAATGAAGTAGAAAGGCGAGTTCCTCGATACAGAAGGAACCTTAAATACAACATACATCCGGATTTAAACATTTTCCTTAAATTACAAATCATGTCAATTCTTCTTTTATTAAGTCAAACTTATTAGATCACTGTCCTCCAAACTCATTAAGACAGCGAAAGAAACATACAATGGATGGTCTTACGTGTTCCACCAATGATCGAAAGAGTCGGATGAAAATGGACCCTTTAAACAAATTTATCTCATAATAACTCGAACCCATTCACACTCACATTACAATATACGTTCTCTTATAATTTTTTAAATTTTTCTTTTATATATTTTCATAATTTTAAAGAAATTATAATAAATTTGGAGTAAATTTCTTCATATTTTGGACTTAAATTATTTTAGTATAAACTTTTTTGTCCCTTTTATTTTAATTAAAATACAAAATTATTTCCATGTTGTAGTTTTAATATTCATTAATGTTATGGCCTAATAAGGAAAATAATTAGGTTTAGTGGTTTAATTATGGTTGTAAAACTCTCTAATCTTTATTGTCTTTTATTACTTTTTTATCCACGTGGAATTAAATATCACATCGTATTAAATGAGTGAGGGAGAAGGTTAATAAACTAAGTGGAGTTTTGTAAATATAGATAATCTTGTATTTATTTTAATTTTTTCTTCAAATTAGTATGTGGAATACACGTGTCCACATTAAATAATAGCGTGAAATAATTAAATAAATTAATTTTCAAAATATTTCCTTTTAAAATAATAAGACATATTTACATCAATACACCATTACACCGTATAATTGGATACTAATATAGCGTAAACCCTAATGCCAAAGATTCGAATCAAAATTTGTCGTATGAATTCGGTATTGCGTACTCCAACATTCTTCCGTTTTGTCGACTTGTCTTGAGTTGCTTTTGATATGAACCGAGACATCAATCATGCAATATAAACTTTAAAGAAGATGCAAAAGAAAATGTTGTTCAAATTATCACGAGAGGTTACAATTCTACGTAGTTTAGATTGCATGTTTAGAATCATTCAAGGTAGACATGATCGATTTTGCTCGCGGAGTTTTTTTGCTTTGAGATATTTGATCTACTTTCCCTTCGAGTGATTTCTTATCTTTACGGCCTAGTGTTCTTACCTTTCCTTTTGTTAAGGGCTAAGTTTATTTGTAATTCTATATAGTTTAGATTGCATATTTAGAATCATTCAAGCTAAACATGATCGAATTTCAAACAAAATTTTATCAACAAAGTAAATGTGATTCTTTATCAGTTTTTAAGAGTAGGGACTATCCCACGTGCCAACATGCAATTTTTAAACATGATTCACATACATAAAGTTAAACAACACTGAACTTGAGAAATTATGTCACCGAAACGAAATCTGAATCTTATCAAACACATTTATTAACCTTTTATATCGTTAAAATCACGCTCATTTGCACGTAATATCGATTCATTCGTTACGTTATGAATTATTATCATCATTTTTTCTTATTACTGTATGTTATGTACTGTGTTTTTTTCTTTGTTTGCGTATGCATGTCTAAGGCCAATGTGTGTTCCTGTCGAGGTTTTCAACTCGTTTCTGTCAGAAATATGATCCAATGTGTCTTAGGCCAATGCATTTTGGCTTAGTGGAAACTACTGTTGTTGTTATGTCACATCCCAAGTTTTTAGTGTTCTTCATTACTCGGACAATAAGGTTTTGTTGGTTCATTTTATCCAACATAATCTCTATAACACAACACAAAAACATCCCTATTTTTCAAATACAACAAAACTCTTTAAGAGCCCTCTATGGCACGAGGGTTTATAAAGGATTTAGGGTTTAGAGTTTACGTTTTAGAGCTTACTGTAACAGATATTGTCTTATTTGGGCTTCTTGCGTTTATTAGAGAGAAGTTTCGACACCCTTATAAACAATGTCAAGTTCACTACAAGCAGATAATGTTCTCTTTGAACTTTTCCTTTCGGGTTTCCCGCGTCTGTTGGAGAGAGGTTTCGACAGTCTTATAAATAATATCATGTCCACTACTAACAGGCATTATTCTCTTTGAACTTTCCCTTTTCAACTTCCCACGTTTGTTAGAGTGAGGTTTTGACACTCTTATAAAGAATGTCGAGTCCACTACTAGCAGATATTATCCTCTTTAAACTTTCTCTTTCGGGCTTCCCACATTTGTTAGAGAAAGGTTTCGACACCCTTATAAATAAGAATGCGGAAACCCTACTAATTAGAAGCAAAAAAAAAAAAAGAAAAAAAGGAGCTTTTTTCTGGTTTAAAGCTACTGATATACATCAATGGACTGTAAAGTAATGGAAAAAGATGAGATTTTTCTGGTTTTTTTTGCTTCAAAAATAGAGTGAGAGATGGAGGATCTTTTAGAACAAAAAGTATGCCTTTTTTGGATGTACAAGTTTTTTACCTGATTTGGAAACAAAACCACAACAAAAGTTGCCCCAAAACCACGCATAGATTCCTTCCCAGATAAAAGCCTCTCAAACAACCGACAACCTACCACCCTACCCTTTTATATATATATATATATATATCAAACATGAAAAAGAAATAAAATTCTTCTAAGTTTCATAGACAATGTATTCAATAAATCTCGAAACTTTCAATTTGACGAATGAGAAAAACGATTAAATACGAATTAGAGATACACATTAAGAGCTTTGGAACTTTGGGTTGTAAATAAACATGATTATAAGTGTATTAAAAGCTTTTTTTTATAAGAACTAAACAAAGCCAACGACCCAAACTCATAATTTAACCAAGTAGTGATTTCTACACTAAAAACTAGAGATGGGTCGATGAAATAAATTGGGTGGCAAAAATTAGGGGGAAAAAAAAGGGCCTTAATGAACAGTAACTTTTGTTGTTGTTGTGGGTAAGAGAAGATCAGTTTCATGATTACTGCACAAATTCTCCTCCAAATTTTCAATCTTTTTTACACTCAGATCATCTTCTGAGGAGCTTGAAAGTGGCAACAATGGCGGATTGCAATTCGAAGAACCAACCTTCGTAAGCTGCATCGCTCTTTCAGCTTGAGCTATCCAATCCGTTGTAGAAAGAACATAAATCATCATCAGAGCACATGAACCTTGAGCTGCAAGCAACCCAATCCACAGCCCTGCAAATCCCAATTTCACCACAAACCCCATTATGATCGCTACTGGAAAACCCACCAAATAAAACGACCCCAGATTGATATTAGCTCCGATCGTCGGCCGAGCGGTTCCTCTCAAGACGCCGCAGCCGGTGGTTTGTGGGCAGTTTCCGAGTTCACAGAGCCCGACAATCGGCAATGCCACGGACGTTAGTTCAAGAATTTCAGTGTCGTTGGTGAAAAATCTCCCCCATTTGTGCCTTATTAGAGTGGTGAACACCATCGCCAAGACGCCGAGCACGGCGGCGCAAAGGAGTGATACAATCATTGATAAACGAGCTTTGGCGGGTCGATTTGCTCCTAATTCATTACCGACTCTTGTGGAAACTCCAAGGCTGAGAGATGATGGAAAAACATAAACTAAAGAAGTGGTTTGAATCAAAATCCCCATTGAAGCAATGGTGGCTTTGGGATTTACGAGAAGCCCACAAAGCATTATCATGAACTCATACCACCACCATTCGAGGCAAACGGAAACACAAGTGGGTATCGCAAGAGAAAGCAGAGGAGCCCATCCATGGAGGCAATCTTGGGTTGGAGAAACCCATGAATCTTTGTAAACTCCAGAGAAGTAAACAAAGGAAACAAGGAAGAAGAAGACGTTGAAATTGAACCAAATCATGGCAATGGCTACACCAGAAATGCCCATTTTGAAATGCACAACGAGGAGGAAATTCAGGGGAATGTGAAGCAGAACAGAGAAAGCAGAGCAGTACGTCAATGGGAGAGTAATGCTTTGAGTTCTTAAGTAAATTCGAAGTGGGTGAAGAAGAGAAAGGAAAATGAGGTCAGGGATTGAGAAGAGGATGAAAGTTTGAGCCATGGAAGAGATTTGTTCATCTTGGCCACACCATAACAGGATTCTTCTCATGTTGAGCCACATGAAGGAGATGGGAACAGAGGAAGTAAGGAGAAGAAGAACAGCTCTCTGAAGGGTTATGCCAAGGAGTTTCCATTGTTTAGCTCCATAAGCTTGGCCACAAATTGGCTCCATTCCCATGGCCAAACCAGAGAGAACAGAGTAGCCAGTGATATTAGCAAAGCCAATAGAGAGAGAGCCAGCAGCAAGTTCAAGCTCTCCAAGATAGCCAAGAAAAAGCATGGAGATCATAGCTCTTGAGTACAAAAGAAGGCCTGTTATGGCTGTTGGACCTGAAATCTTCCCTATTTCCTTCATTTCCTCCACTGCCTGAAGAATGCAAACACACAAAGTTAAGACACTTGAATAAAAAAAACACACAAAAAGGAATGATGGGTCGATGAAAATTTGCTTTTTTTCTCATTCTCCAACATGATATTACCTCAGAGACAGTGGGGAATCTATGAAGCTGAGCTAGTTGATCATCAGCAGGCTTGAGAAGATTGTTCTTATTATTAAGATTATGATTATCCAAGCTTTTGTTGGGTGTAGCCATGAAGTTGGCTTTGTAGTTAGGAGGAAGAAACGAGGAGTTATTAGGAGAGGATGGTTTTGGATTACACATAGCTCTACCTTATTGACAAAGAACTAAGATAGATAGATAGATAGATAGATAGATAGGATGACTCTGTTTTTCTCTCTGTTTTTTCTCTCTGTTTTCTGAAAATGGAATGCGAGAGTGAAAGGGGGAATGGGTATATATAAATAAAGGGATTGAGAGCTACAAGTTTCTCTTTTGCTGCCCTCCTCTTAAGGAACTTGTCTCGCAATATCAAGGACAGAGGGGGAAGGGAATAAAAAATATTTTAAGGGCCGACTGTCCTACTCAAAAGCATTAGCTTGAAATCATTTTCATAATATATCCCTTAGAAGAAGGGACATATGAGGGATGGATATGGGAGAGGCGAATGAAGTGAAGATGAATGAAGTGAAGATGAATGAAGTTTGGTGGCATTTTTTATGAGTTTTTGACCGCCACAGAATCCCATATTGGAGAATTAATAGATAAAAAAAAAAAAAAAGAATGCATGATGAAAAGTGAATGGATAATCTTTTTTAACACTCAAACCTCTTGTGGTCGAGTTTTGAAAGATGCGTGGAAGGAAGAGATAAAAGAAACTTATCTTGGGAATGCCAAGTGGATGAGGAGTTCGAGAAGCAAAATTCTTTGAAGTGACAGGGAGGAGCATAGCATATAAACTGATGGTTCATAAAATATGAACAATAAAATTGATGGTGTGTGGGCTGGCTGGCTGGCTGGCTGGCTTCGATGTTTGAAGGCTAAGGGATGTGTGCATGTCCGATTCTTGTACAACCCATGTGGGAAAATCATACCCATTTCCACCTGACGGTGTACTGGCGAGAAAGCTAACTTTCAGGAGGTAGATTGTGATATCACACACTAGTATGAAGGATATAGGAACTTCTCTCTAACAGACACATTTTAAAGCTGTAAAGCTAATGACGATATGTAACAAACCAAAGCAGACAATATCTACTACCACTTAGACACTTAGCAAAGATGAAAGACGTTTTCTTGGTTGATGTTCTTGAGAGATTTTGGTTAGCTCGTGGGGATGATGGAGGAGATAAAGGGGGGGGAGTGAAGGGATGTTGATTGGAAGAGAATATTTATATAATTGTAATGGTGTGGGGGAGAATGTTTTTGAGGCCATGGGAGTGGAATAGGATTGTTGAGATTTTGTGATCCCCTCATGGAGATTTTGTGACAAAATAAACCCCTAATTAAATCATTCCAATCAATAATTACAATGCCATTTCCGACTAACTGATAAAAGTGGGCCACAAACAAACACAAAAGAAGGGTTTGATCAATTTACAGTCGGTGGAACTCTTGAGTGTTTCCCCTAACAGCCATGAAAAAGAACAGCAGGATTGAAGACTTGAAATGGGCTAACATCTCTACCCCATTAGCTCATTTGGACATATTATTCCAGGTGGAAAGGAAAATAACTTGGGCTTTCAGCAAAACAAACCAAGGGAGTGAAAGAAGGGTCAAATCAAATCAGATCAGATCAAATCAAATCCATAAGATGCTTGAAATTCCAAAAATGCAAAAAAATGAAGAACAGAAAGGATAAAAAAACCAACCCCAAGGAACTGTTTGAGATGTTGGTTTGGCTTTAGGTGATGAAATGGAAACAGTATTCTTCATGGGTATGCTGCAACAAGAGAGAGCAGAAGAATGGGACCACCTGATAGAGTGTTGACAGTGGAATGGCTGTATGAACAAGAGGCAGATGGGAGAAAGGGAACACACAGATTTAGGAGTAGTTCCAATTACAACCATTAAATATGTATCCCTTTTCTCCCTACAGAGGTGAGGCTGTCTCTCTAGAGGGGAGAGCAACTGGGGGACTGTGTCCTTAGCTGAGGCACACAGCCCTACCATCATCAACCAGCCTGCAACTTTGGATTGTTCTGCTGCTAGCTGCTGCTGCTGCAGCACAAGGACCAGTTTTTCCTTTGTTACCTTTGTAGAAGATATTCCATCTCTGAATCTCATAACACAACCCCATGTCAGATCCCATGTGTCTTTGTCTCTATCAGTTTGAAGTATCAAACAACAGAACCCTCTAGACAAAAAAAAAACAAATAAATGTAAGCTTAACAAAAGATCAAAAAATAAAATAAAACATAGGCCGGTAAGTACAACAGATCGAGTCCATCAAATTCCCGATCCCAAACAGGATTGAAGCAAAAGAAGATGACAAGCAGCTAAAAGTATCGTATGTTGATCATGCTCATGCATGAAAGCAAACCAATCGATACCAAGTTGATCTAATGAACATCATGACAGAATTTTTCTTAGCATCTTAGCGAACAGATTATAATAAATCCCAATATACAATAAAAGTTCTTCGAAAATGATCTGAAGAAGTTGACAAGACAGAGATTTGACACCAATAGAGATTATACCCTTCCATACACTGGAATAAATTCACCATCGTTCCTCCATACTAAGGTTTTTCACTCTTTTCGAGAGAAAAATTAATTCTACCACAAGATTCTAAACAACTTAGACCTACCATCTCCTTTCACAATACATGGAAAGAAAATGTAACATCTTTTTTCTTGACACAAAGATGCATGAAAATGTATGAATGTATTCCCATTGTGGTTTCTAAATTCAAGAACTGATTATCCAAAGAATAAAAGAATATTACGCTTCATCAAACAATCATTTCAGTACTAACTGATGCTTCTCATCATAACTTTCAGGAAGAACAGCATGAGATGAGAGCATAATATATTTATATAATAGCAAGCTAGATTTGGTTAATGATCAGTGCAATCAAACATGGGGAACTTATTCTAACATGAAGATGCAAGATCAGAGAGAAGCTAAAAAGAGCATATAGTTTTTAATATATATATATATATATACACACACATCGTTCAAGGATGCCATCGATAAAAAATCACTTGAGCTTTAAATTATCTTAAAGAAGGAAAGAAATGTCCCTATCAGGGTTTCAATCAGCACAATGCACTAAATAACTGTTGCCCACCAAGCACATTCCAACATACTCAAACAGAAAATTCATGCACAAATGAATGAGAATCCAATACATTATGATTGAACCACCAACGCACTAAATATTGCCTTAGAAGAAAATGATACTTCATAGGGAATAATTCCCAATCAGCAGCATTATCTTCGTTGGTAAGAAAGTAGTCTTCAGAGTAATTTTGGAATCCACAGCTCATGCTTTCCCACTTCTAACGCAGAAATTGTCATAAAGTAACATTTCCAGGAGGTGGGACTGATTTTCATAAAAGAAGATTCCTCACTGTTTGTTAATAACGTGTCTCTCTCAGCATTTGGTGACAGCTAATGCTATAATTATCCCTGAACAACCAGTATGTCTGCTTAATCAATATCCTGTTTTTCCTCATCTGTCGCTTACTTATATAAAGCGCCCACCACTGATCACTGTAATATATGTCCATGGCTTACAAAACACACGTGCGCTGCACCAAATGTTTGGGTCAGGCCTCATTTCTCTACTGTAATCTATCAAACAAACTCCCCCAACCCATCACACACCATAAAATGGTTAACTCAGACCTATAGTATGTTACACGTATTTTGCATCAAAATTTCGATAAATTCTCATGTTGATCATGGATGAGATGCACACCAACCAAGCTTTCCAAATACTCTGACAATCAAGAAAGGAAAAAAACTTTTCAAAAGAGGAAACCCTTGTAAAAATAGTGTTGTAATATTTATTTACAGCTATTTACAAACTTGTAGGATAATCCAAACGGTTTTCCATTAAGATGATAGGTTAGATAAAGGAAAAGATAACGAATATAACTGAATACCTCATGTGAGGGCTCTGGGACTCTGAGCACTAGACCGAGGAAGGGCCAAGATAGCAATGAGTCCACTTGCAAAGGCTGCAAATGCTGCCACAGCAAAAGCTGGAGAATTTCCACCACCAAACAGCTGATCCCATGGTCCACTTCCCAGGGATACCACAACCTATTATCAGAAACAATTAAATTAACAAATAAAATAACTTCACGAAGGTGAGCTCATTTATTTATTACATATATTAGATCAAAGGATAATTTAGTTAAAATTTTTTCTTTATACCGGATGATGTGATCCCTCCATTGGAAAAATATCAGGTTGCAAATATAACACCATTTGCAACATTTTCAGGACATAACATGCACTAGAGACTAAATACTGACTTTATTATTTAAGATCTATAAATCTATAAATCTATAAATCTATAAATCTATATGATGTAGATATAGACATAGATATAGATATATAATAAAGAAAAGAAAAATTGAGTGCAATCCCAAACAAAATCAAGTCTTCAGATTGTCTCATACAATTACTGTCCATCACCAAAGCATCCAGCCCCACCCTGGTCTTCTGATATGAAGCAGACAGCACAATGTATGGGACCAAAAAGATAAATGGCTTTGTGAAACATGTTACCTTTTAAGTCACAGATGTAGACCCAGACTATATATTTGTGACAACTATATCTATTCCTCCCTCAAAATTTAAATAAAAAAAAAAAAAATCATATGGCAAAAAAAAAAAAAAAAAAAA